AATGGTGGGGGTACAAAATTAATTAATTCAGCACAAAATTAGCACATAATTAGCACATAATTCCTCTGCATTCAGAAATCGTGTATTGGGATGTTGCCGTGCTAGCTTGACGCACCTATTTGTGGGCCATCCTTAAGGGGTCTCTATGTCGGTCACGGACCATTATGATAATTTATTTAAATAACTCGAGTTTAGGAGCGCACCGAGCCGAAATGCTCGGTATTGTCATTTGTCGGGCCCGAAGATGCGCTTTATTTCATCTTTACTCTCTACGTAGAAAATCTTAACTGATTCGCTGTCTTGGAGATAATCAACGCCCAGCTCGAACGGCTGGACATGGGAATATGAAATTTCGGAAAAGACCTCGTTAAGACCTAACGTATCTACTAAGACGGGATTTTTTTAATTCGGCTCTTAAGGGGGTGACATTCGGGGTTGAAAATTCAAGCTCATTTGGAAACGGTTAGATCGAGGAGCATGAGATTTTGCGAAAATGTTCTTTGTTGGAATCTATGAGATATGTGTAAAACGAAATTTACATTTTTGCTTTTCGAAGGGGGTGGTAGATGGTCTAAAGGGTACTCATGATTTGAAATCGCACGAGATATTCGAGCATTGGATAAAATCTTGCACCAGCGTAAAGCACGAGTTAATTGTTTACTTATAAGAGAATTGCATAACCCTGAAAAAATGTTTCTGGGTATCTTTCGAAAGGCGTGTCGGTTTACCTAATTTGATTTAAAAGAAGTTATCACCTGGTAAATGGTATTATTTTATTAAGTAAATTACGAAGTGGAAATTAAAAGTACTCCTTTTTTATCTAGGGTCTCAAGGTATGGCGAGCACGCAAACGCGGAGGCGTTGCGACGCCCGTTGCCGGAGCAAAGGAATACCGCTAATCTTTTATTATTGCGGCCTTTCACTGCCAACAGTAACGAGTACTTACACGTACACGCCCGTTAGAGCTCTCATTTCAAAAGGGACCTCGGTAAAGGTTTCTTTCAGCGCGCCCCAAAGGAGGGTAATTGCCAAGAACGCACGTGACATATCCGACGAGGCCACTTTGTGATAATTTCTTGCGTTTCACCTACAACGCCGACAGTTCCTTAAATCCTGCCAAATCGTAAAACATCAACATTGTTATTATCTCTAATTACCGGCCGTTGCAAAATTTGAGAGCCCATGGTAAAATGGTACCTCCTCCGAGTGCCCTTTTCAACTCATCTAGAGAATTTAGGGAAGGTTGGTCCACGGCGATAATCGATAACGAATGTCCTCGCCGAAAGGGCGAATGCGAGACGAATCAAATCCTGAATGATGAGGATCAAGCCGAGTATCCAAAAATTGGACAAAATTACGAGACCATAGGAGCGCTCATTCTTCAGCGGGGATTTCTAGTCGGCGAAGGTAGAGATGAAGGAGCGAACGCGGCGAGGTCTTTAAAAAAAGGAAAGGTTGCGGACTAAATAATGAGCCCTAAATATTCATGGAATGACGAACACGTGCAATCCGTTCATTTGTGAGTTACCGTTCCGTGCTAAACGTCACGGGACGTTTCCAAGGCGTCATGAGAGGACGCGACTTCACGGGCGTTTGAGATGCATTACGGTAACTGGGTCGTCACCGGTTGGCTACGGTTCCGGGTGAGGTCGTCACAGAATTGGCTCTTTTCTTCGAGATCTCGTCACCGGGTCGTTCCGTGTTACTTGTGGCCTAAAAAGCACCTGGCAAAACGGTTCTCCAGATGGCTTATCACTCCGGCGACAAAGAGTCCTGGTTCCCCTGGTGACACATCTCGAAGAGGTCCCTTTCCTGGCTTCCGAATTTCACTTTGCGAAACCACGGGTAAAAACGACCAGTAAAATCGACGATCCACCACGGGACCGTCTGAAAACTAGGTTGTCACGTGATTTGTGCTTTAATTTCGCGTTACCACTTCACTTTTACCAGGACCTCGGCGGGACTTGGTGAACCAGGCCTACGTCATCGGAACCACTAGTCTCGTCTAGAAACCGCGGTTCTGGTTGCGGTCGGTAAGGAAACTTCGTAGGGAAGAGTTCAATACTCCTGTAGAATTCGATATCGAATGGTGCGTATCGTCGCTTTGATCGACTCTCGGGACAGCCTTAACCCTTTCGTTACCTTGGACGAGATATCTCGCGAACCAATACTGGCCGATCAACACTTTTGACGAGATATCTCGCGACCCGATACTGGCCGATCAACGCTTTTGACGAGATATCTCGCGATCCGGTAGTAGCGGATTAACGCTTTTGACGATAATCTAGCTTCAATGTTTATCAACATAATGCTCAAGACATACCATAAGCGACATAAAAACTCAAAGTCAGAATACAAAATAATTTGTCTAGAATGTCAAAATATTACTGCTAGGAAGCTAGATTATCGTCAAAAGCGTTAATCCGCTACTACCGGATCGCGAGATATCTCGTCAAAAGCGTTGATCGGCTACTACCGGGTCGCGAGATATCTCGTCGAAAGCGTTGATCGGCCAGTATCGGGTCGCGAGATATCTCGTCAAAAGCGTTAATCGGCCAGTAGTGGGTCGCGAGATATCTCGTCCAAGATAACGAAAGGGTTAAGGGGATGTGAAAGTGGCATCCGAGGGGTCGATCGTTCATGAAACTTTTCCTCGAATTGAGTGTATCGAATAATTTAAATCTTTACAACGCACATATGGAGGCTGTAAGGAAGGTCCTGGCACCCATGAAGTTTCATTTTAAATACAACATTTTTATAATATCTATAAACAAATTTTTAAAGAATTCAAATTTCATGGGTGCCAGGACCTTCCTTATGGCCCTCATATTCACGTTGCAAACTTTGAAACATTTGGATAATACCCAATTCAGAGAAAAGTTTCATCAACGAGGCCTCTGTGTAGCTACTTTCACATCACCTTAAGGCGACACGAAAGTGGCGTTCGAGGGGTCCTGTTTATGAAACTTTTCTCCGAACCTACTGTATCGAATCGTTTGAAACTTTACTATATGAACATGGAGGCCCTAAGGAAGGTTCCGACACTCATTAAATACAACTACGCCGTATTTACGTACTGACGATACGACTTCATGGGTAACACGACTTCATGCAAATTACACGGTCAGCGCGTTCTCCCTTAGAGCCTCCATAATCACGTGTTACAGTTTTAGATAATTTGGTGTACCCAGTTCGGAGAAAAGTTTTACAAATATTTTGACTTTTTGGTATGTATATATCACACTTTCATATCACCTTAAGGGGATGTGAAAGTGGCATCCGAGGGTCGATCGTTCATGAAACTTTCCTCCGAACTGGGTGTACCGAATCGTTTCAAACTTTACTACGTGAATGTGGAGGCGATAAAGAAGGCCTTGAAACTCCTGAAATTTCATTTTTTATACAAAATGTTAGAAAAATATTTATAAGGAAATTAAAAAAAAAAATTGAAATTTCGTGGTTGTCAGAATCTTCCCTTTAGCCTCTGTATTCGCGCTGTAAAGATTGCAACGGTTCGGTGCACCCAGTTCGGAGATAAATGTCATAACTGAGGTCCCTTTCGTATCACCTTAACCCCCAGAAATGTCGGGGGAGGAGGAGGGCCAAGAAGAGTCGCTCGGGGCCGGTGCCACCGGTCGTCACCACGGGCCGATGGCCAATCGCAAAACACGTGTATCCGATACCTGAGCCGCCTGACAATGACGCTTCCCGTAGGGAGGCCATACGGGGTCCGCTAACTGTACACCTTGATGACACGTCCCGAAAAAGTAGTCCCAAAATACGCGGAACCAGATCGCCACCGCGTTTCCTGGGAGGGTTTGGCTGGACCAGGATGGACCAGGATGGACCATATGTCGAGCGCGCCTCCCAGCTTTTTTCGAGTCGACTCTCCGCCACTCGGGGACCTCGATCGGGACTTCGCTGGGGTCTGCTCTTCTCTTCTTCGTCCCCCTCTGCTGCGAAATCGGTAGCCGAATTCCGATCGCGCGACGCATCCCCGTCCCGGCCCGCGCGCCGACCTCATGCGAAAAGTATATTAATTGGGATGCATCCCGAGCCCCGGGAAGAAAGAAGTGCTTGTTATTGGGCCAGGAGCCATTACGTCATTCGCATGTCGCGAGCTGTCACTCAACGTCAGACATTTTTGTTAGCAAGGGAGTGCAGACTTCCGGGTCGCCCTGGTCACCCCTTGCCCGGGTCTCTTTGAACACGAAGACTTTTTCCAACGGAGGGAAAGCGAATACCAGCCTACATTTCAGAGATGGTTTCATACACGACCGCAGTTCTATGGAATAAAGTTATTTAATTTTTAAGTTTTTCTTAAGGGTGTTTGGTCATGTATGAGAAGCTGGAGAACCTGATATGTACAGTGTATCTTAGAACTCTTAGCATCCTTGGAATTGGTGGAAATTGACCAAATTGAAAAGTCGAATCTTTCTCTTTGACATTTCCCTCGGATGATTACTTACCGAATTATTCGTTATTAAACTTGGCTATTTTATTTCATTTTCTTTTATACTTAGTTCATTAGCACGTTAATGTTTTTTTACAAAACTATGGTAATAACTTAAATTATAAAATTGAAATACCTCCGAAGTCGTATGTTTTTCCTAATTAATTAAGTGAATATTTGTTTGTAAATAATTAACGTAATAATGAATTGAGAATAAATGAAAAATTAAGTAAAAAATGAGTGTCCGAGTATTGCGAAGTATCCGCACATCAGGATGCAAGGCACTGGCCCGGTTAAATCCCACACTTTTTTATCAGGAATAACTCGATAAATAATCACCTCAGGGAAAAGTCAAAAAGGAAGTTTCGACTTTCAATCTCGACAACCTCCACCAGTTTCAGAGGATACTGCAAATTTAGGGGCACCCTTAATAGAGAAATTGGGGTTTTCTGCATGAGTTATAATAACTTCCCCACTTATTTACGTATTAAGCACCGATGCAAGACGCAGATCGGTAGATAACCAAAGGAACGTTTAATTTTTCCAGGTCTGGGAGTTTGGGGTCGTCGAGTCAGCAAGAAGATAGAGTCTTTCCGCCGTTCCGGATCCCGCGAAACGGTGGCCAGCACTCCGGAGAGGCTCGACAGCGTCGAGGAAAAGTCGACGCCAAATGGCGAGGGGAAGCCCGAGCGGAGGGTATCTCTGGGGTCTCAGAGATCGCCATCACCGTTCAAGTCCTTCTTCATCAGGATGGGCTCTACGGGGATGTTGAACTCGTCGAGGAGCAACCGGCGGTCGCAAAACGAGGACGACCAGCTGCGGACCTCGGAGAAGGAGAATCTCTTCAGGAGCTGCAGTACGAGTCAGCTGAACACCAGCCCGACGTACGTGAAGGGCGACGATCCGTCCGAGGGTATCGACCTGCAGATCAAGAGGAAGGACAAGACGGTGTCCTGCGACAATCTGACGGGCCAGCAGGACGACGACGTCTTCGAGACCGGCGTGGAGCCGCTTAGCGTGGTCGCGGACAGAACGGTGAACGACTTCGGGGCTTGCGACTTCGCGGGAGACAGCAGGGTGGAGGTGCTGAAGAAGTCGAGCAGCTGCGACTTCAGGGAGGCCAAGAAATCCAGCTTCCCGTACGCGTTCCTGCGCTCCAAGTTGTCCGTCCTGCCGGAGGAGCGACACGGAACGGGTCTCTCGTCGGCCAAAGACGACAGGCTCTTCAAGACGGCCTCGGAGGAGCACTTCCCGGCCCTGAAGATCGAGGAGTCCTACGACGGGACCACGACTCTGGGCAGGAAGCGCAGTAGAAACAACTTCAGCAGGCTCCAGGAGGCGGCCAGGCTGTCGAGGAACTCGTACTCGGAATTCCGGGGCAGGCCGGTGAGCGTTGCCAGGTGCGAGCAGGACAGGTACAGCCTGAACCCCGGCCATTTGGAGCGCATCGAGGATGCCGGATACCAGCAGGATGACGCCTCGTACAGTCCTTATTCGAGGAGTCCGGGGACTCCCAGAGGTGGTCCCAATTTGGCCGGGAGCGAGACCGGCCAGGATCAGGTGGATCTGGCCGCGAGGATTACGGATCTGCCCAATCTGGGCACGGATCTGGACGTCGTGGCCACGCTGAGGGGTCCTAGGAGAAACTCGGCGCCGAGCGGGGAGCAGCGATTATCCTCGCATTACGTCAGCTCGAACGAGTCCGGCTACGACAGCGACGGGCCGAGGGGCGAGTCAGCCGCAGCTTCCGAAACCGAGGCCCTGAGTCTGAAATGCGCCGACAGCTCGGACACGAGCAGCGTTCTGGACTCGGAGATCGAGAAGCCGATCAGGAGCTCGACTCCCAGCGAGTACCCCGAGCACGACTCGGAGTCGGCTCCTCGAAAGCACCAGGACGCCGGGACCCCCTCGACGATGGAGAGCTGCGAGCCGACGGACGGCATTCACGGGTTCAGGTGGCACCAGAGCAATTCAGGGAGACTCTTGCCCAGCATACATCAAGCGTGTACGTTGGACAAGATCGAGATCCCGGCCGCTGCCCAGGAGCCCGCGTTCCCTCGGGACCACCTGAGCGCGTTCCAGAGTGGATCCAGGCAGCTCACCAGCTCGCCGCATCGCGTCAGGCTGCAGCAGGACAAGACGAGGTTTCTGACCGACATCATCCAGCCTCCCAGAAGGGTCAGGCGGCGACGTCTGGTGCAGCTCAACAAGAGGGACCCCAAGGAGAGCCTGGGCATCCGACTGGCCCAGCAGCGCCTAGGGGAGCTGCGCTATATAGTGGTGCAGCTGGAGAACGATGGGATCGCGCACAGGTAGGTCGCATCTCCGTTAACGAACATCCGGATACCTTGGAGCCGCTTTTGCTCCGGATCACCGAATAAGTTCTCTCCTTTTTTCAGAGACGGCCGCCTCAGACTCGGCGACGAGATCGTCGAGGTGGAGGGCAAGGAGCTCCGGACTCTGGAGAGCTTGGAAGAGGTCCAGGACTTCCTGAAGTCCTTCAGCGGGAACAGGGTGCAGCTGGTGACGGCCTACGAGGAAACGGTGCCTCAAATGTACTCAGGCTCACCCGTCCTTCCCGCGGAGTACGAGTACCTGGAGAACGCGAAGAACCTCTCGAACATCTTCCTGATGGACGAGCGGAAGACTCCGAGCCAGACTCGCTCGATGGGTGTCCAAGATAAGGCGACCTCGGCGAGCCCCACGAAGAGACCCGACTTCCTGCCTCTCTCGTGCCTGATCAATGACTCGAAGGACTCCGAGGAATTGGCGGAGTCCGCTTCCGAGTCGCAGCAGCCCTTAACGAGACACGTCGCCAGGTTCGAGAAGGGCTGCGGCAGGCCCAGCCTTGGCTTCAGCGTCGTGGGTGGCCGGGACAGTCCCCGAGGCGAAATGGGCATTTTCGTCAGGAGGATCTTCCCTGGAGGGCAGGCGGACGTGTCCAAGTCTCTTCTGCAAGGTACATGCGATCTCGTGGGTGTTCCCAGAGACGTTCCGTCCCGCTTCGATGCACCTCGCCCATCTTTGTTGCTCGTCCTTGTAGAATATTCTATCCCTGCCCCTACTCCTGATCATCAAAATTACCGAAAAAGGACGGAGGCCTTATTAGGAGGAACACCTTGTGAACTTTGTCTAAGCAAAATTCTAAACGAAGCTCCACTTTGCGGCCAAAGTCCACCCTGGTTTGGGTTCGTCGTCGTCGTCGTAGATGCATTTGTCAGGCTTCTCGCGCATCCTCAGCCGAGTTGTCCAACCAGTGTCGAAAACGCTCGCGGACAAATCGGGCGTCGTGTCGCACCGGGTTTAACTGCCGCTACGTATCTCGGCGATCGGCTTTCCTGGTCGGCGACCAATTAAAAGTTTGTCCACCTCGACGCGGTGGTTCTTGCTCGCCGATGTCGCAAGCGTGTGGCAGGGGACGTCGCGACGCGTCCATCCGCGGCCTCTCGTATTCACGCCGGCTACCAGCCTGGACACAGCTCGAATCTTTAAGCCGACACCTAACGCCGCGTGCATTTCTAAGCAGTCGCACGCCTCCTCTCTTCGCCTCCTCTCTTCGACCTGCCTCTTCATCCTCCTCGCGTTCTACTCTTTCATTTGCCTTCCTGGCCGTGTCGAGCGTCGCCGGCATACCAACCGCGATAGCTCTGCTCCTCGCTCCACTTTGACTCCTCTTCTTCGGGACTACTACTTACCGACGATATACTATTTCGCGACGTTTGCCGTGCTCTCCAGTTTCAAAATCGCCGTCCGATGCGATCAAATTTCGATTACGAGCATGTTTGCTATCCGGTGCAACGAGACTCCTGTCCGGTGATTGCGAGTCGGTCTCTACGGCTCGTCGGGTTGCATGGCTGCAGGCGAGTGCAACCTTGGCCGCGAATGTGCGAGGGAAGTTCTACACGGATAGGGTGCCTTTTTTCTCAAGTTTACGAAACCTCGGGAAAAAATAGTGTTCGAATTGGTATTTTTTCATTCGTTAAGTGTATTTTTGAAATGGGGCTTTTTATAGCACGATAGTACGTGAATATGCGCAGGTTATGAAAGGGACCCGGTTCGGAACGTGAAACGCTGGTTGTTTGTTTTTATTACAGATAATTAGTATTTACGCTCACTTTTGCGCGTTACCGTTGACGGAATATGGGGAAATGTTTTTGTTAGCGTTATTCCATTTCAATTTGTTGTCTAAGAAGTCAGTCAGTTGCTGTGCTTCTGGCTTGGCGATGTTGACGTTGAAATCGTCGCTCGTTACCATTTGCATCCCATCGCAATTCTTTTTTCAGTTAGTGACTCTCTAAAATCATCTTTGTGTCAATACTAAATCAACACGATTTGCGTACGTTTTATTTTTACAGTTTACTGACGTTTATGTTAATCTCTGTGCGTTTGTATTGAGGCAATTTGAGAAAACGTTTCAAGTGAAATCGAAATAGTACAGCGAAAACAAAAAACTATTTCTAAAACAAGCAATTGCGGACGCGTAAGAGCATTTCGTGAAGAAATAGTAAATATCTAGTGATTCTCTTTAATATCGAAGTTTCAGTTCCACCGCGCGCGGCAATCACCTACCGATGTTTTTTCCGAATAAACATTCTTCAGAATGTTATCGTTGAAATTTTATGGGTGTCAGACCTTTCTTCCACCTTCCGTATTCACGTTGTAAAAATTGAAACTATTCGATTTCCAATTTGGAGAAAAGTATCATAAACGGTTGATCCCTCACGCGCCACTTTCGCATCCCCTTAAGGTGAAGTGAAACACGCCGAGAAACTTGATCGACGTCGGTAAAACAAGTTTTTCTAAATATCTACGTTGCCGACGTTCGTTTTTATATCGACGTGTCGAATTAAATTGAGTATTGTACTAAATGGCATACTCCACCTGTCGTTTTCGTACAATAATTATAATGAAATCTAAGTAAAACTCCATAAATCCCTTGCATTCATGGTTTCTGAGGCTGTAATTGACTTCAGAGGGACACCCTGCGCCATCTGTGATTTTCGTGTGAACTAAATTTTTACTCCGAGACCTCGTATTCCCATCGTTTTAGAATAGAAGCGTATAAAATACTTTTTTTTACCTTTATTCCGTTGACATGAGAGTTTCTCGATTACCAGAGTGTTCTAAATTGTCGTATAATTATCCTGGCACTTTCGTTTCTCATATTAGAGCCTTCAATAATTAGATATCGACATATGAGAGCTCGACGCCATTTTGGTTTTGGTCGGGGTTAAATTAAAAAAAGTTTATCCCATTCAAATGAGAGTTTCTCGAACACCAATGTTATAAATTGTCGTACAATTATCCTGGCACTTTCGTTTCTCATATTAGAGCCTTCAATAATTAGATATCGACATATGAGAGTTCGACGCCATTTTGGTTTTGGTCTGGGTTAAATTAAAAAAAGTTTATCCCATTCAAATGAGAGTTTCTCGAATACCAGAGTGTTCTAAATTGTCGTACAATTGTCCTGGCACTTTCGTTTCTCATAGTAGATCCTTCAATAATTGGATATCGACATATGAGAGCTCGACGCCATTTTGGTTCTGGTCTGGGTTAAGTTAAAAAATTGTTATAAAAAATCTAAATTTTGAACGTGTCAGGATAATTCCTAGGTGCTCATGAGTAACGTGTCAAAGTTTCGGACAGTTCTATCCAATACCCTTAAAAAAAGTGTCTTATTCGAATCGACTGATTTGAGGAGAGTGTCACTTCACCTTAAGGCGACGTCGGTCGGGTATTTTCGTTCCCTGCCGTTTCCCACAGTCCGTAGGCTTCTACTGATACCGAGATTTGCGTGCCCACAGGTGACGAGATACTGTGTCTGAACGGAAAGGTGCTCCGAGGACACACGCATCAGGAAGTTATCGAGCTCTTCAAGGCGGTGAGGGAAGGACCGGTCGAGTTGGAGCTGGCCAGGAGACACAGGTACGGGCCAAAAGTGCACATTATCGTCGGCCCAGAGAGGCCGCGAATTAATGGCCAAAGTGTGTCGCCACTTTGTCCGGCATACGTGGATAACGAAGTCCGCGGGATCCGCGCGAACGCGATAAATAAAGCTCGGCCTGACACGCAGAGTATATTAAGGTCCTCTTCGTCCGTTTCTGTCCTTAGGTACCCGAAAGCCGCCTTGAAGTCCGCGCCGTACTGAGGAAGACCTCCCGAAGAAGAAGAAGCCCCGAAGAAGAGGACCGGGAACCTGAAGTAGCTCCGGCCGGAAGTGCTCTTCAAGAACCGCTGCTGGGCTCCTCTTCCTGCGCGAACGATCTTTAGATTCTAGTCTCTCGCGAACAGGATCTCCGGATCTTGGCGTCTCGTTTCTCTCTTTCTCTCTCTTCCTCCTTCCTTTCCTTCGCTCGTTTTAATTTATCTCGCTCGGTGGCGCCGAAGCTCTCATCAGCTCCCTCTCGTACGCGTTGGTCCCCCTCCGCGTTCTCCGATTTTCATTATCCCCTTAAGATTTTATACGAGTACGTTAACGCACGGAATTCATTGTATATGACTTTTATATAGCAGACAATAAAGAGTAGGCCACTTTCGATGAGATACGGGAAATCAGGCGCGATTGCTGGATCGACGTTGACCGGTTTTGGGGTAGAGTGTTCGCGCGTTTACGAAGTTTAAGAGCGATACGGCGGAAATGCGTTTTGGATTTGCGAACGGCCAGGCATACGCGTAAGTTCTTGGCTTCGGTGTCCCGAAACGCGAACGGTGGGGTAAGTGTCCTGCACGAGTATCGACTTCACACCTGGGACACGGTATTCGCGAGATTTGTAGTGTATTAACGAAGTTGTACGTTGAACGATGCCTTCTAGAAGTAATGCAACACATTGGCCCATTTAAAGGTTTAATGCGATTAGTTGTTGTTGTATGTTATATAATGTTGTATAAAATGAGGTTAACACGAACGGTGGAGTCGTCGTTTATTCCCTGCGGTTCTTAAAGTCGGTTTATTATTATTTAACGTGCCTTGTAAAGCTTCCAATACCAACTCCAGTTTCTCAGGAGATGATCATAATGTTCTAATAGTTCCTTTCCAGGGTAAAAGTTTCCGTAAGATTTTATATCAGATTATCCGCAGCCGACGGGAGTCTAACGAGAACGCTCGACGTCTTCGAGTTATTAAATAACACGTTTATTAGCGTGGGTTCTTTACACATTTACAATATGTACAAGGAACGTCCCTCGATTCGTTCTCTTCTTGGTCTGTTGTACAGATCGGTCGAGAAGTCTCTGAAGAGTTCGTTCAGGAGTCACCCAATAGAAGGTCGGCGCACGACTTCGCCTTCAATGTTCTGAAACACGAGAATTAGTATGAATATATTTTACATGAACATTTTTATATTTTTTACAAAATAAAGAATACTGGGAATGTGTCATCTCAAATTGAATCTGGGCGTTAAATGCAACAGCGACTAACCCTTTGCACTCGAAAGGCGACTATCAGCTGCCATTGGCAACATGAATGGCAAAAGCATCAAATGTAAATGGCCAAGTGACTTCTCACTGACTTCTCATAGAAGATACGAAACATTAGAAGAACTTACTGAGGTTCTCGATGTTTGACCCGCCGACTTATGTGCAAGGCCACAGGACCGCTTTTGATGTTGCGAAACAGTTGCACGGCTTCCCGGTGAGCTAAATCGTGAGAGACTTGTCCATTTACTGCCAAGATCTCATCCCCGGCTCGCAATCGGCCATCTTCGGCAGCCTGACCCCCAGGTAGAACCGACTTGATGAAGATGCCTGAAAGAGAACGAACGTAAACCTTGAAATTCCAGCGTGACCGATAACAGAATTCGACGGAATGAGTTAAGAATAATTAAATATGCCTATCAAATCGGTAATGACGTGCAAATTCGAGATTGCGATTCAGATGGAACTACGATTTACCGATGCTTCCTTTGGGACTGTCCCTCCCGCCGACTATCGTGAATCCCAAGGATTTCTTCCCGGGTCCCTTTTCGAAGACCACGGTCTGAAAGGTGGACACCGTGTTGCGAGGCCTTCTCGGAAGAGTACAGAAGTTCGAGACACTCTGAGAAGTGCTGTCGATCGTCGCGTTAAATTTCTCCGAGGATATGGATCTGGACGAGTCGCTTTTTCTATCCCGGTGCTGCTTCGACTGGTGTTTCCTGAAATGGGACCTGGGTGACGTAGTGGTCTCCACGATCACTCCGTGTCCACTTTCTACGCAGATGTTCTCGTAGTCCACGCTGCTTTCCTTCAGCCTCCGCGGATGTTCCGCGTTGATGTATCTGGAGATGACGATGTCGACCTCGCCGGGACCACTGCCACCTCCCAGGACCTTCCTGGCCTCGGCCATGCCGAGTCCTCTGAGTCGTTTGCCATTTACGATGAGAATTTCGTCTCCGATCTTCAGAGTTCCCTCTCTATCGGCCAGTCCATTCGGCACTACGTGTGCCACCAGGTATCCATGACTGGACTCCGGCGTCTTCGCGATGAAGATCCCCAGACACTGATCCGGACGATCCTTGACGAGCTTCACCACCGTCGTCTCCGTGCCGTAGGATCTGCTCCTGACGACGGGAAGAGGGCAGCTTTCCTTGCTGGGAAGCCTCTTGACGATCTCCTTGCGATTCAGACTCTGTCCTCTTCTCTCCCCAGGGGCCAATCCACCCTGCCGCTGGATCAGTTCCGCGTTAGCGGCCTGAAAGACGGACCCTGGGGGGTCTCGGTCGATGCCCGAGCTCCCATTCTGCGCGAGCAGACACTTCACGGAGCCGTTCCTGTCGTTACGGAAGACCTCGATCCTCCCATGCTCCAGACTGGTGCAGTTCTGCGAGCACCTTTCCGGATCGGTCATCGGGGCAGATGGTCTTCTGGGCGGAAGTCTCGGGGGAGAGTCGTCCCCTAGGCCACTGGTCATCAGTCCGGATGCCCCGCTGCTGCAACGATCGTCCAGCAGGGAACTGGTCGCGGAATCGTTGTCCAAGATCCCCGAGTCGTTGTCGTCTTGATCCTGATCCTCGAAGAGGGGATTCGTCCTTAGTTCCTCCAGCCCAGGAAGCGTCCCGTACGAGAAACTTCGCAGTCTCCTCTTTTCCCTGTCCTTCCCATCCTTCTTGTAGATCTTCGCTATCAGTCTGCTGGTCGAGCTCTTCAAGTACCTGTCCTGCATCGCTCTAAACTTGGCAGCCAGGCAACTCGACGGAGTGATGGTGTCGAACTGGGAGCCCTCCTTGGTGGACACTTCGGGGTCGCACATCTCCATGACGTTCATAGTCCTTTGGGCCTCCGGCGTGCCCTCGGCCTCGGACAGGATGTCCTTGCTTTTCCACCACCTTCTTCGAGGTTTCGGGGTCTCCAGCTCCTCTTCGCTCCCCGTGCAATACTTTTGCTGACCCGGGGTCCGGAACATCAGGAACCCGGAACGCTCTTCGCCGTTCTTCAAAGAGGCTGCTAGTCTCGTTTGGGATTTCGATCTTCGTTTCCTCCTGGCTTGAATCTTCTCCTCTTCGCTGATTTGCTTCAGGTCCGACTCGCAGAGGGATCTTCTGACCTCGTTCCTGTTCAATCCTCGCAGGCTCAGCTCGTTCATGGAACGAAATTGCGTCCTCTCGACCTGCTCCACCTCCTCTTCCGAATCTCTATCCTTGAAGAAACTTAGTCTCGTATTTTTTACGCGATCCAGCAACGGGTGTCTCTTCTCGCACACGCGTCTTCGTTCCTCCTGGATTCTCTTCTTGTCCTTTTTGCTGGCGGTCCTTTCCGTGGTCACCTCGGATGTCTGCACGTTGTAGCAGTTCCTCTCGGATTCGGAACTCGAGGACTTCCGGCGCGCCCACCGCACCGGCGACATGTCTGAAACGATTACAATGAATTAGATATTACCCTCAAGGAGTTATCACGACGAGGAAAGGAATCTCCCTTCAGCATAGATCGTACATGAAAAAAAAGAAAATTGTCCTCGCAATGATATGAACGTGGTAAAAGTAAAAAATCTAAACGAACATAAATTTATTTCATATTTAGTACGTCTACTTAATATACAATAATTCGAAGTTACATTTTCTTTCATAATCGGCACAATTAAAGAACAAGTGGTTGAATTGTTCATTTTCAAAGAAGCGATAATATTCCTAGCACGTACTAAAATTATTCTCAATACTTGGCGTGATCCATCGACGGATAATGCTTTTTTACTTTCATATTTTGCAGGTCGAGCTCAAATATCGTTTGAAATTGAAACGTAGAACGCCCGAGAAATAGGATCGTTTTATGTCCAATTTATTATTAAAATGGTCCGTACGATGGATCCTGGTCTATGATGTCATCATCGGAGGTGTCATATTATACAAATCACTGTACAGGTTGTAGTATTATTTAAACAACCTCGTAATGTTTTGGTCCTGCCTTGAATACGCGTTTCAAAGGCAATTCTACGATCATTTTCATTATTTCATTTTTAGCAATTTATGTTCAACATTGAAATATAATTAGCTACGCGTCCGGTAACAAGATCTTGTCCAAGAAATCGCGGTCAGCTTTAATATCAAATATTGAAAATTTATTCTTGAAGCGGATTCTTTCGTTAAGAGGTCCGACGAACGACACGTTTCGATTGAACAATCAAATTCTTCGGTCACTTTGTTCAGCAACTAAGCAGTCCCTCTATTGAGCGTCAAGTATTTCAAGTCACAGGGTACAAAGCATTGCTGATCTCTGCACGATACGTGCCCGCTTCGAAAGTAGTACATAAACAATAATAGAATGGTATGTGCTGACCACTTGCAGGGTCATTGCATACTTTTCCCTCCACCAATTTCTTTGGATCTGCATATTTTTTCACTTCTTGAAACGCGAAATCAAGATCCTACGAAGGAACCGCTGCAAAACATTGTTCAAATGTATATTTTAGTCAAAACCATTGTAAATTATTATTTAGCTCCTGTATGAACTACATTTTGAACGAAGGAAAAAATACATCTCCACGAATAAGAATTCCTCGGCTCGAGGTCTTTGAACGGAATCGCAATGTACTTGTAAAATCGCATGTACATTGGACATAGAAATGCGTGATGTGAAATGTCGAATGGCTGCAATAATCACGTTGAACTATTAATTTTATTAGCTTTTGTCCCGGCTCCGCACGGGAGTCAAAAAAGCGCTCGCACAACCGTTCATTTCCAATCAACCCTTGATCGGTAGATCGATCACTGATGGGATTTTCCGAAATTCGACTTCTGACAAGAAACTGAGAAATCACTCGTTCCGGCCGAAAAATCGAGCGCTTCGGTTACTTTATTAGATAGCGATAAAAATGATATTGACGTGTAACGCGTTTACCCCGTTTCTAAAATTCTGAACGTTCCTATCAGTATCTCCCAAAAAAAGATAGAATTCAGTATTTTGTTTCAAGATTCTACTTGTAATTCGATAACCACAGACCGACATGTCGAGAAGGAACTCTGAGAAATTGCTCGTCTCGACCGAATAACCAAGTGATTCGATCGTTTTATCGGGCAGGGTTAAAAACGGTATCATCACGCAATGTATTTACCCCGTTTATAAAATTTGTTGGAGCTCCTATCAGTATTTTCCAATGAAACTTAGGGTTCAGTTATTTATGTTTCAAGATTCCACTTACAATTCGATAATCACAGACCATTATGTCGACAAGGATCTCTGAGAAATGGCTCGTCTCAGTCGAATAATGAAGTGATTCGATCGTTTTATCGGGCAGGGTTAAAAACGGTATTATCACGCAACGCACTTACCCCGTTTATAAAATTTGCCGGAGCTCCTATCAGTATTTTCCAATGAAACTTAGGGTTCAGTTATTTATGTTCCAAGATTCCATTTACAATTCGATAATTATAGACCGATATGTCGACAAGGAACTCTGAGAAATGGCTCGTCTCAGTCAAATAATCAAGTACTTCGGTCATTTTATTGGCAGGGTTAAAAACGGTATTATACGCGCAACTCACTTACCCCGTTTCTAAAATTTGCTGGAGCCCCTATCAGAATTTTTCAATGAAACTTAGGATTTAATTATTTATGTTTCAAGATTCCACTTGCAATTTGATAACCACAGATCGACATGTCGACAAGGAGCTCTGAGAAACTGCTCGTCTCGGCCGAAGAATCAAGTACTTCGGTAATTTTATTAGGCAGGGTTAAATACGGTATCATACGCGCAACTCATTTACCCCGTTTATAAAATTTGCCGGAGCTCCTATCAGTATTTTCCAATGAAACTTAGGGTTTAGTTATTTATGTTTCAAGATTCCACTTACAATTCGATAACCACAGTCCGACATGTCGACAAGGAACTCTGAGAAATTGCTCATCTCAGCTGAATAATCAAGTACTTCGGTCATTTTATTAGGCAGGGTTAAAAACGGTATCATACGCGCAACGCATTCACTCCGTATATAAAATTTGCTGGAGCTCCTATCAGTATTTTTCAATAAAACATAGGGTTCAGTCTTTTATGGTTCAAGATTCCACTTGTAATTCGATAACCACAGACCGACATGTCGACAAGGAGTTCTGAGAAACTGCTCGTCTCGGCCGAAGAATCGAGCGCTTGGGTCACTTTATCCGGCAGCCGATAAGTTCCGCTTAACCGGATGTCGGGCATGTCGATTCCTCGTAACGATTCCGCGGAACCGATCGAACGAAAGACGAAGAAAACGTTTCCCTGCCGTCCCCGCGCGTCTTTTTCCCGCGACCGAACGAGCCCACGACAGACTTTACTCTCGCGCTCTAATGGCTCCGCTTGACGTATCGCGAACGCCGCTTCCTTTATTACGTTTTGCGAATTCCTCCGCAATCCTGGCCGTCCACGAAGGTTCTCGTTCCCCGGGCACTGCAACCCCGCGATTGCAGATCCACGTCATTTCCAGGTCGACCGGCTTCTTCTCACTTTTTTCACCGATCAGCCAAGAGACGCGACCGTCACCGACGACGCGTCTCGTGTGCTCCTTGATAACGCGAAAACAAAACTGAGCGTTTTTAAAAGACGTGACACATTTATACGGACGCGGGAATGGCACTTCCTCTGCTTGCTACCATTGTACAGGAAACGTGCGGTGAATGGACATGAATGGACTTCGAGGTATTCTTGGATTCCACGTAGATGTTCCGAGCTGGATGATAAAAAATTATTTGATATTTCTGCGCGGAGAGGCGAAAATTGTAGGCCGATTTACCTTTAAGGTAATATGAAAGGGTCGTTCTATATATATTTAACGTTAAAGTATTTATAAAACATTTCTTCAAACTGGATGAACCGAATCGTTGGAAACTTCGGCATGTAATTATGAAGGCCCTAAGGAAGGATGCGGCGTTCGTACAATTTCATTAAAAAAAAGAAAAGTAAAAACAATTTTTTATTAAAAATTAAATTTCACGAACACTACGTTCTACCTTAGGGCCTCCAAAATTACATGTCGAAGTTCTCGACGATTCGGTGCATCCAGTTTGGAGAAAAGTATTATAAATATTTTGACGTTTTATATATTTAGAATGATTATATATTTAGAATATAGATAGAACCCTTTCATATCACCTTAATATAGGGAACTTGCCGTCAAGATTTGAATTTATGAAAATTTTTGGAAGGTTTTATTGGATTTAATGTTTTTTTCTATTTCTTAAAATAGGAGATTTGCTGTGAATATTTGGCTTGATAAAAATTAACGGGGGATTTATTTTTAAAATAGGAATCTCGCCGGCGGAATTTTTACGATTTTATCGAGGGAAGTATTGAATTTTAATCGAGGCTTAGACGGGACCGGAGGAAGCAGGTGAAGCGAGGTGGAACCTCTCGTGGGCCCGATGATGAACTTGAATTCCCAGGGAATGATTTAAGAGCGGAATAAAGGGAAGCGGGAGGCCAAAAGAAAGGACAGGGGTTGCGGGCAAAAACCGAGCCCGGCATTCGATCTCGTTAAACCGGATTCAATTGCTCTCTCTAGGCCCGTGTACCTCGTGCCGTACAATGATGAATAAGGGACGTGAGGCGCGTATGAAAACCGCCTTCAAGTTTCGAGCTCGCCTCCCGCTGCGATGTTTAGGCTAATTTCAAACCCCGCAGCCCGATTCCGCTCCGGAGACATGAATTCCCTGTCATTTCATGATTTCTCCGCTTTTCTACTCAACGACCTTAGTGTTCACCGGAAGCGAACTGGAGAACCTCGAAAGGGGGCTCTTCAGGGTTCAGTCGGTTCGGCTGAAGATCGTGGAAGAACTGGACCATGAAAACCGCTCACGAGGACAAAGTTGTCGAGTGCAAGTCCTGTCGATTCCGTGACAAATGAGAACGACCTTACACGTTGACTTTTATACGTTTGCGTTTCATGATTTCTGATAAATTCCTATCCCTTTCTGATAACGTTTTGTGTACGAGGACCCTGAAATCACTCGTTCTTATCATCCAAGAATATTTCTACTGATGTGGAAAATTGTGCCTTGTATTTAGAAGGTGAAAATGCGACAAAGAATGCCATTGTTCAATGAGGATACCAATAACTGGCTCTTTCCCTTTTATTGAAGCTCCCGATATCGAGCCGTTCTCGTGCGCACGTTATCAATCCTGAGTTCCCAGTGACTCATATGGGGATGGGATGGCTAATATTAGTCAACCAATTTTTTAAACCTATATGAACTTACGATTTCGCGGATAAACCGCAGGAATGTTACGTCGTAGTACGAGGAATCCGATTGAGTAATCCACGATCGCGGTTTTCCAGTACGTGTCGTTCACACGATTACGTGGTTGAGCAAGAACGGCAATATCGAGAAGTAAAGATTGTCTGTCGGCAAGTCTTAAAAAGAGACGAAATGCGTCTTTCAAGTAAAAGGCGGCAAACTAGTTTAGATAAATTATTTCGAAATTGGAATGAGAGTTCTTTTCGGAATTCATGGTCGACTCAGCGGCGATTCCGCAGCGTTTGACTTTCACGGCCCGAGGATCGTTTCTCGCTTCATCGGTGGAGCGTGTACTAAGGCTAATGCAATATTCGTTTCCATTTATTTATCCATGTGGAATACTCGGCAGGAAATTTCACGCAAAATTGGATGAATTACAACGGTTCCACGATATGTTTTTTCCACCAGGTAAATCCGAATCCGCTTCTCGATATAACGGAACGCACGTTTGTATAAATTGGGCGATAGCTTCGGTTGACAATAAATGTTGAAATAATTTAGCAGAAACGTTCCTTAATATAAGACATAGCAACTTATGATCTGCTAAGAAAATGGATCGCCAAAACTTTGCCCCTGGCAATGTCGATCTACCGAAAAAATCCCTATTGATTGTCCATACATTACCATCCACTTATTATCGATTACCTTTGAACCAGAACCATGGTCAATAGGAAAGTTTCCTACACGGATAAGCTTCAATGAGCTTAAATTAAGCTTTCTAAAATACCTCTGGCTACCATATACCTGAATACTTGCTGAATCGTGGGCTGCCCAGCCAAGCATTAAGCGGAATGGCCATAATTTTTCCAACCCCACATAACATACCATTCCTCAACAATATATAAAACTCCAGTTACCCTCAATTCCACTATAGAAAATTTTAGAAAATTGAAATAATCGCTTTTCCCGTCATCCTTGAGGTCGGGCATGCAACGACATCACGAAGGGCCTCCACTCCAAGGTCTTGACATAACGACCGATCGCATGTTCATAAGAGGGCTCGTACCTATTTTTCTTTTATTGTCATTCTTGAATTGAATGTTAAAAATGCCCATTTTTGAGATATCTACAGGAAAAATGGAGCACGACATTTATACACAGTTTCAGTGCGTTATTAACTATACTTTTACGTGTATATTTATAAAATTTATCATTTTACACAAAAACTGTTTTGTATTTTAAAGCAACGGTTTTCATCCCGCACAGTTCATATTTTGCGTACATGTCGATAGAACCCGTGACTTTAGAAATAACCACTGACAAAAATGTAGAAATGAAATTACTTAACATTTTAGTTATCCATTAATATTTTTTGCTGGTTTTTCCACACTTTGATAAAATTACATTTTAAAATTATTTAATACTACCGAAAAAGAATGAACTTGTCCATTTCTAGCCGGGTGTAATCTTGTTTTTAAAAGCGGAATACTCTAGAGTGATCGGTCGCCCTGAAAGCTAAGAACAAACAAAGATGCACCTCCAAATATGGTTCTTTACAACGGTTTTTTTTACGTTAAATTTATCATTAATGTTTTAATTATATCAAAACGTACCGAAAGGAAGCTTAATAAACATCCTTAAAATGCATTTAAATGTTGGGTTTTTCTGTTTCTTGTACCTATTTGAAAAATGGGGATTTTTAACACTTTCAATAAGTCTGAGCCCCCTTAGATCGATGGCGGATACATGTATAGACATATATCGAGGAGGCAAAAGCAGTTGTTTATGTAAAATTTATCATTAACTTTTTAATTGTATCAAAACAAAAGTAAGGTTAATAATCCCCTTAAAGTGCATTTAAATGTTGTGTTTTTCTGCTTCCTGTACCTATTTGAAAAATGGGTATTTTTAACACTTTCAATAGGTCTAAGCCCCCTTAAGCCGATGACGGATACATGTATACACACATATCGAGGAGACAAAAGCAATTTGTTATGTAAAATTTATCATTAATTTTCTAATTTTATCAAAACAAAGGTAAGGTTAATAACCCCCTTCAAGTACATTTAAATGTTGTTTTTCTGCTTCCTGTACCTATTTGAAAAATGGGTATTTTTAACACATTCAATAGGTCTAAGCCCCCTTAGATCGATGGCGGATACATGTATAGACACATATCGAGAAGGCGAAAGCACGGATCTCGACGACTCGATGGATCGTCGAAGCCCTTGCGATCGGTCCCGGTGAAAGTGGATGCACTTTCAGGATGAACATCTCGGTGGATCTCTTACCTCTGAGTCGGGATGCTGCATGAAAGTGGAATGACGCACCGTCCAGATCCTCGGCTTGGAGAGGACTCAGGCTGAGCAATCTCGGGGCTTCGGTATTGGCCCTAAACCAACGCATTCTGAAACAGGACGACGACGTTACAGCCGGCGTTTCAATTAACTCGACAAATTTATCGCATTGTTCACTGGAAGTGAGCTCCAAATGAAATCGTACGAGGAGGGGGCACTTTATTGCGCTCCTTACTGTTTACAAGCAATACCATACTTTATTTACGGCGTTAACGGAGCATAACTTTAGTCAGTATTTTTCCCCGCTCCTTGTAACATTTGCAAGTATGTCTTGGCCGGTAATACTTTGTTTTTACTTACGCACAGAATTAATGTCGTATTTACGTGACTCTTTGTATACATCTTCGATATGGCCGGAAAGTACGAGGATAGGCGAGTGATTGCTTAATCGTTTGCCAAGATATTTGCAATACTTCTTTCAAACGCATTTGTAAATTTCTGACAGATACTATCGCACGTTCCCAATACAGAGGCTTCCTTTTTTTAACTTGTCGCGGTTGTGACGTATCGAGAGACTTTCACATCGACCGAGATAATCCTTATCATCGGCTTAGTTCAATTTTACGTTATCGACATTCATAAACACGCAATAAATTCCATAGCTTTTCGCACCGAAATAAAATTATCTAGGCTCCCGTTCATTTTGACGTCTTTATTACCACTTCTTCGTTTTATAAGAGATAAATATTTACTACATATGATGATAAAATTACTAAACATAGCACCCAGACTTTACCAAAGTATAGAGACGAAATGGAAGTTAGACAAGGTCATTTCTTAAACAAAATCTTCATGTCTAATTTCCAGCCTGGTAAATGAATTTCAGTAACTTAGCAAATTGTGTTGCACATAACTCACCGTTTATCGGTATTTATGCTCCGATTTTATCGCAAGCGGTATTTTTTGCCTGAAAAGGTCACCGCGTAATGAAAATCTTGGGTTTTCGCGACTAGGCTGATAAAAAACATCCGTCGGTAAAAATCTCGCCGTGAACAGGTTCCAATACCAACGACTAGAAACAGCTTCCGCTAGAATCGTTGAACCGAAACTCGTTTCATCGCGGCTACTCTCATTTCTGATACACTCGGATTAAAAAAAAAAAGGGCTCGAATTAATTGCAGTCAAGGCCGTCTTATCTAAACTAATAAGGGGACACATTCTATCGGCTAAGTGCACTTCGGTGGCATTTTATGACAAACATTACACGTTCTTTCGCTATCGCGGTATGCAATTGCCATTCAACCTCTCGGAGATACTTGAAGAAGGTACCATTTCGCTTGATTACCTCGAATGTTCAAACGTCATTGAAGATTCTGACGAATATTATTCACACGTCGTAATTTCCGGTAAGTAATCGAAGCAGTGCGGATCCAATTTTGACCGTTCGGTAACGGTAATAACGCGTTTATTTAATGACATGACAGTCCCTGAAAGTAATTACATGACTGTAATAATAAAATAGACGATTTAGTTGATTTTAATTAACTGCTGCTCTTGGTCTGATCATATTTCAATTCTATCTTCTTTCCCCATTTATTAAAATCGAGGTTAAATAATTAAAATGTCTTTAACATCGCTGGGATGATCTTGTCATTTTCAGCAAATGCCAACTCTGGACCAGCATCAGAAGGAAGGAACTTGGTGCCAGTGATGGTCCAGCACTGGCTTGACTGTAAATTCCTCCTCAGGCTTTTATGATTCACTCTTAATGCTATTTAAACTTTATTACACGCTGCTTGTCTTAATTGCATATGCACTGGATGATGTCTCTGTAATCTATAGTGAACATCGCTGTCTAGAAGATTGCTCGTTGAGTACTCAAGCTGTGACTCAAGTACTCGTCCACATTTTTCCCGACCTTAAGCCTCCTTTCTGAACCATTGGGGAACAATTCACGTAAAGATGGCGTCTTAAGACCATTCATTAATTTACTCTAGTGCACTTTCCGAGTACCCTTGTGAGCATTCCGGCGCATCCAATTGTCGTCACATCCTGTTGCTCGGGCATACCAAAAGTCAAATAACGAAGTAACTGCCGAGGCGGGAGAGGAAGAGGGAAAGAGATGTATGGGCCATGCACCTTCATAAAAAGAGATATAAAAGGGAGTCGTAAAACGGACACATTTGGGCGCGTCCCGTGTAAGGAGCGAAATTTTGTCGCGCGAAACTGGACACCGTGCAATGAAATTTCGTTAGGTGGTTTCGCGGCAAGATGGCGGATTCCTTAAATTAAGTATGATTTTCATGGGAAGTAGAGGCACAGGAGGGCAGGGGAATGCGAGCCCTCCCCTTGGGGTTTCAACGTGGTACACGTTACACCGCCAGTACCCGGTTGCCTCGCTATGCCAGGCATTTATAGTGGCATCTCATTAATGTTCCTTGCTTAAAAAGTACCCACTCGCCAAGAGCCGATGCCGAGCCTTTTACTGTGTGGCCGGGCATAAAAAATATTTCCAGCCCGAAAAGGAACTCGGCGCTAATTTTAATTCCCTGTCGGGCTACGGGAGCTATTCGCGGTTCTCTTTTTTATCTCTTCGGCACTCTTCTTTTTCTCCATTGCCTTAGATTTTTCGGGGAAGGTTGAGATTCGTCATAGAGGTATGCTCGAGGCATCTCATCGCGATCTTCGTCCCCGAAGAGGCAATGGTACTTAATTCCACAGGTGGGAACCGAGTGCAAACCCACGTCTACTGAGATAACACTCTTCCTTGACATTTTTCAAATAATTAAACAGCGTAATTATTTTTTTAAATCTTATTTTTCATTAACCCTTTCGTCGCGACGAGATATCTCGCGACCCAATATCGACCATTTAACGTCTTTGACGAAATATCTTGCTAATTAATATCGTTCAAGACCGTATGCTACGAATGTGTAAGAAAAATCGGGAGAAACCTTCCGAAAAAGACTACTTTTTAAAGATACAAAAATCTTAAGCATCATCCTGTAAGGCCAGTATTGGACGGGGAGATATTTCGTCGAAAACGTTAAGATGGCCAGCATTTGGTCGCCAGATATGTCGTCAAAAACGTGAAATGTCCAATATTTCGTCGCAAGAAATGCCGTGAAAAACATTAAACGTCCAGTACTGGATCGCGAGATATTTCCTCCTAAGTAATTAAAGGATTGTCAAGTCGTTGATTGGCGAATTTAAGTTTGACTCTTCCTAAAACGGAATAAAGCCCCAAAATGCCCAAGCCTGATGACCCTATGGTCCATTACTTGACCGCCGATCAGCGAGCTTCTCGAGGACGTTAACCCGTTTTTCAGGGGCACCCCTTGTTCCCTGTTACGATCGCAACAAGCTGTTCGGTCGCTACAGGTGACTTAATGCTGGCGTAAAGTCAGATTGGATCGTAAATCATTAGATTTATATTTTTCCTGGTGCGCTGGATATGATACAGCGGCCGAAGTTCCCGGGGACATCGGAATATGAATTTTCGAAATTATTCCCCGGCATCGCGGATCATTAGGATGGCTTTTACTGTCCTGGGTACAATCACCGAGTACGGCAACTGTTAATGAAACGGTTGCTTAACACGCTGAATACCCTGGGGGCCACCGGAGACGGCTACCGAGTGACAATGGATTACTCGTCACTCGTATTGGCATTCGACGTGTCAAAACGTCAACGCGAATACAATGGATTTATATATCCAGGAGGAGCATTTTATGTAAAACATGGAATAACGATACGACGTGCGCACGTGACGTTTTTGGTCAGCTCATTCGGACGTATCCGTTGGTTTTTGCCAAATGCCCGACGACGCGATAGCGGCAAGAAACATGTCTAACCATGGCTTTGAGGGTTAACAATTGATAACCCTCTCTGCGGACTCGGAAGGCTATCGATAACTTCGAGGAGCGGATGCACAAGTTCAAAGTTTCGCTCGATCCTAAATCAACGTGGACAGACCTTGAGGTATCTGGAAACAATGTGCGTTTCAGCTGGATGAAATCCTTGCGAGGAATTTATTATGAAAAATATGCAAGGACGAGTCCATGAGGTAACCTTTTATATGCCCGGTGTAGCGATGACTCCATCGGTGTATGCGTCGTTCCACGAGGGATGCTTCGCTGCAAATCGCAGCCAAGGTTAACGCGGTATGTGCAAGTTGAAAAATCTGTGCAGTATGTGAAGTTCGAAGCCTTGGAAGGTCGGAACGCATCCGACCGGTGGAATTCTGGCTCATGGGGACAATGCACTCTGTAAGTGCACTCGCGGGTCCCCGAAAGGATGAGGACTCGGCATTAAAAATGCACCGTTTCGCACAGCATCTTTCACGCAACGGTAACGTCAGGACGGCCGAATTCGGAAAATTACGAGCCGTTCGACGTCGACGCGGATGATTTTCCCTTCTTTTTTCTTGATCGGTACCGTTGCAAGTAATGGCAGGCAATAAAGCGTTTTATTCCCGGGCGCTGACGTCTCCCGTGACGGCCTCTTAAAAATATGTGCACCCTACAGGGAGGGGAAGAAGAGAGGATCAGCCACTGTCTTCGGCATGGAATCCGAGCCGAAGAGCCGTAAGGACTTTGTTAACGTGAAAACAACCTCGTGAACGTCTTTGACTTCCGGGATGGCCATATTTACACCTGACGAATATCATTTCTCGTATGAAAACATTATTGCCGCTTGAGGCAGAATTTCGGACTTGGGGTGGTGCCAAGAGAGGTACTCGACCTGTGAGGTCAGGAGTCAATTTTCAGCTTCTAGTATTTTCACGATTTATACAGCCGTCCCTCAATTTACGCGGAGTAGGGGAGACCATGGTCAAATGTAACAAACGTTATAAATTATTTATCCCAACTTGAAAAAGCGTAGCGAAGTATGGGAAGCTTTCCATGGATACTATGAATATCTCACAGTCGTTTCATGTTTGTTAAATCGGGCGTTTCTCTTGTTATTTTCATTTTTTGTGATACGGAATGGGTGAGTAATATTTTTTTACGTTCAATATTTTTGATTCATATTAAATCTGGAATGGATAAAACTGATTTAACTATACCACAGTATTGCATCTTCAGATGTTTATTATATGTTTAATGCA